TACAATTTCACCTAATTTATCAATTATTAGTTCTGTCCAGTGTCGGATTGGGCCGTTGGTCTACAGGCAAAAGACCGGTAGGCCTTCGTTCAAGCTGTGGGCCCTCTTTCAGGCAGTTGGCCCTCTTTCAGGCAGTGGGCCCTCGTTTGGGCAGTGGGTCCTCGTTCGGGCACTGTGCCTCAATCAGTGGGCCTCATTCAGTGGGCCTAAGTTAGTGGACCTCAGTCTGTGTGCCCTTGAGAAATGCGAAATAACCCTTGAAAAAATCATCAATGTGCAAAGAAGGCCTTTTTCGCTTTTCAAGAAATCCGTCCATGAAAAAATATTGGTAGGTGGGCTTTCTCCGTTCTGACCGGTAGGCACTGGAAGTCCCGATCCGACACTGCTCCTGTTTGTCCAAGATATTTAAAACCTGTCATTAAGAAATTTATATAGCTCTATTTTTTCAAATTGCAGGTAAAAAGATTATATCACAGACATTTTATGTAATGTTTAGATTGTATTACAATAATATATTTCTTCTTCTTTCTGTTTAATCTCTTATCAAATTGCACTTCCAATTTTCTATTTAATCCCTCATGAAATTTTAGTTAAAAAGATTATATTTATATTTTCTCTACTTTCTAATTAGTATTTACCAAAAAGATATATATTCTGGATGTATTATTAGTCCTATTTTGTATTACTAAGAGATTCTTCAAGTAATTGTATGCTGTAATATACTCGTATTGTATGTTTCTATCCAATGTTGTCAGATGTTACCATTCGCCAAATATGTGACCGATTTTAAATTGTCTATTTGTGTTTGAGAATACGGATAGTGTCTGTCGGTCGACATTTTGATAGACATTAGTAGTAGACATTATGACGAATCCGACATTTTTAATAGACGTTAGAGAATAGGGCCCCAGGACGTCCATATCCGGGCATCCAGTGTACGTCCGTTTATGCTAATTAAATTGACAGCTGAATATTGATACCCAGAGAACGTCTGTTTTTGGACTTAATTTTAAGTTTAGTAGTATTTTGACATCCAGTGGACGTCCATCTTGGGTCATTATTTATTAAGCCTACCCATAGCCCTCAAAAGGTCTAGATACCGCATCGTAAAAACATTTTGACCCCCCATATGATGGGCGCCATGATAAATAAATGTCAATAAATTTTAAGTTGGCACTTCTGACAAGACAGAATCGGCACAAGTTTAGTAATAAGCGTGAGATCGGCGTTCGACGTATATAATCGATTTTATTATCTGTTGTGTTGTTTATTTTGTTCTTCTAGTAAAGGTTTTATTTAAAACATTATTTTTTAGTTTAGTCGTTTAGTGTTTTATTTTAATAAAAAACATTTGTGGTTTTGTGTTAAATTTTTACAGGATTTTCAAAATCTCTTGTTGTTTTGTACGTGAATGTAACAATGCATCCAATGGTAGAAGATACAAGGAAGGAATAACATTTCATGTGTAAGTTTTCAAAAATATTTGTATATTTTCAAAATCAAATAATTATTTGTGTTTTGTTGTAGCATACCAAAAAATTTTAGGAAAGAATAACTGATAGCCATAGGAAGACCATTGAATCATTTTGTGACTTTAGTATAAGCTCAGAAAATTTGGGGATACTAGCTGAAACGGCAAATGTGTTATTGGCTCCTTGTTAGTGACCTATTGTACAATTTTTCCAACACACGTTCCATGATCCTTTGAACTTGGCTGCACCGTACTGATGAAGACCAATAGTCAGAAAAACGTGTCGACCGTTACTTCTTTTTTACTTTTTTTTATTCGGAAAATGTCCACTATTACTACCTTGATACAATAATATTAGTTCCGTTCTAAGTAGGTACATATTATAGTTTGTATGTTTTATGCTTTATTTTATTACATGTAATAAATGATAGGAAATATACTTTTATAGTAAATAAATTGATTAAAGCAATATGTAAGAATAAGTTTATCTAAGGATTAAATTGTTAAAGCAATTTTTCATATCCATTGTTAATTAATTTGTTTCATTTAATTCTTTCTTATTGAGTAAGTTATTTCATATAAATATGCGATACTTGTAAAATGTAATATTTTCTTTTATTATGTTTGTATAAAATATTGTTCAGTTAATAAAAACAGAAATATTTTGTCTTTTATTCAAAAGAAGATTGTAAATTTTTCACTACCCCAAAAAAAGATTAATAAAACCAGTTAGTCATATACACATTTTCTATATATTTATAGAGGTACTTTTTAAATAACTTTCAATACATTCGAAATCTGTGGTTTTATTAAACTCAATGTAACAAATAATAATAGGTATTCTCAAAAATATTTAAAAATAAAATCGAGATGGGACTCTTGTATAATTTAGTGACTATTGGCCTATGGTTAGTGCACTGCTGTATGTCCCTGGGTTTTCTACATTAGAACAATACTGCTTCTCCACTCTAGCAGTATTTTTTGCATCTCACAAGATTATATTTATTAAAAAAACCAAGGAATTGTTTTGAGCCTATTGCTGTGCCCTTTTCCAACATTCCCAAAGTTTTTTTTTTACTTTCTGCTGATTGGATCTCTGATAGCGACAACTCCATTTGTTGTTCCACTAGTTTTTTATCAAATTTTTAAAATAACTTCTATATATTTATCTTTTACAACGACTTTGCTTACCTGCTTCATAATCTCTTCCCTATGCCCCAATTTCTCTAACAGGTGAGATCTTATACTCGCTCTATTAAATCAAATTATCATTATAGTTTATTTGAAAATGCTCTTGGTAGCACAGTTTTTATGGCAAAGGTCCATATTTTTATATAATTTTGCTATTATTCATTTTCAAAAAAACTATAGGAATAGGAGTAATCTATTAGTTTTTCTAAAAATACCTTGTTACCGATGTAAGTATATCTTTCCCTAGTTAAAAAATTCGAGTTTTTATTTTCATAATATAAATAAATGACCGGTTAACAATCACATTCTTTTAAATAGTACATTTGACATTGAAGTAGGTATTTTCTCCATATTGCCAAACAGGAACAGATGGTTTACTTGTAATTTGAATTATATTATATAAATCTCACTGAATTTCTCTATAATTCTCATAGCAATATGTACACAAAACACTTATCCAATAATATATATAACCATGTAAAAATAACATTTCAAGAACGAGAAAATTTATAAAACCGGTCTTGTCTGAACAGATCTAGGAAAATCAAATAGGTTTGTCAAAGTTTTGTTCTTAATTTGAAATTAGAAATTGTGCGTCTCACTCACTTATAACTAATAACAAAGTGCAGATTATCGGTGTTCACGTATTACAGAACACACAAACTAAAAATCAGTGTAGCCAAAACATAAATTTACCTAACATGGCGACAAGCTTGAATGGGGTAATTTTTTTGTATTGACAGCATACGCCAAGCGGTATCTAGACTTTCTGAGGGCTATGAGCCTACCAGATAATACTCATTTATAATATATACTTCTTTTTTGATTATAACTGGTCATTAAAAATTGACAAATTGAATCTGTTGCATTTCATTCTATCAGCGGAAGTTTGAAATCTTATTCAATTATAACTGTATCTAGTAAAAAGTTTTCAAGTGGTTCCTTGGTCGAGCTCGTCTAGCGATTGAAAGGGTAAAACCATAATGGATGTGTCGTGAGTTCGATTCCTGCTCAGGTCAAGCGATAATAAAAAAAAAATAAATGGTGTATAGCGGTTTGCGAAAATAATAAACAAATTATTAATAATATAAAATAGTGTGTGGTAAGTTGCGGTTCTGTAAAAAAAGTGGGGATGTGGTCTCAATGGAAATATAATCCTGGACGTTTTTTGAATGTTTAGTATTCGACGTCCAAATATATTCCAGAATTGAACGTCCTCTGAATGGTCAAAAGTGTGCCATTTGTATACTTCACTGGACGTCTATTGGATGTCCGAAGTCCAGAAAAAACTCATTCTTGGACATCTAGACATCCAAAATTCTATATCGAATGGACGTCCAATGGACATATTTGTATTGTCTGGGTGATAGCCAGGCCAGGTATTTAACTCTAAATATATAAACCTTAAATGACATCTGGCTTACCTTGGCGAGAAAATACTTGTTTATACAGAAATTAGTGATATACTTGAAAGTCCTTTTAATATAATATAAATCCAGAAATTCTAAAAATATGTAAGTACTTTTTAAACCTAAAAGTTTTTGAAAAAATAAGCACATTGCAAATATTTAGTTAAATATCTCAAACTTAATGTCCTTTTAATTGTTACCTAAATTTTTTTTTGGTACCCTTAATTTTATTTACCTTATTTTTGCTTAAGGAAAAGGTAATTTAATTTAAATATGAGGCTTTTATTACTTAAAAAAACTTAAAATTTTACGCATTTTTTAGGATCTGATTGATTGGCATTTAGTAAAAAATATATTGTGTATGTACATTTTTCATTTGACTTAAATTGGTAGGGTCACCTACCTCCTCTCTCTGTCTCTCTCTCTCTCTCTCTCTCTCTCTCACTCTCTCTCTTAGCTTATTTAAAATTAGCAGTGGGGATAAGAGCAGTAATGTACTTAAAAAATTTTAAGTCCTGTTATTTAATATTAAAAATTTATAAAGTAGACGTTTCTCAAGAGAAATTAAAATGAACTTTTTGTATTTATTTAAAAAAATTACTTGCTGTTTCCTATAAATAAAAATCCCAGTTCTTTAGAGTAGGTATACACGTACCGGTGATATGTTATTTCTGAAGATGTATTCTTGTATATACCAGATATACTGAAATAACTAATTATTACCGCAAAACACACCAATATTTTAATTATTAAACTAGAACTATTTTATTTTTAAAACGATATCACCATGCTGTAATCAAAAACATAATTTATTGACAATGTCAAACTTTCATTCTAATATGGCCAAAGTGGTGTTACTTATATCACGTGATGTTATCCCTGTCCTTGCCAACTTCCTCATTCAACGACTGTTGTTGATTTTGTTGCAGGTTATTTTGGTGAGATGGAACGAACCCTATCAGAAACTGGCGTCATGTGACAGCTTTGGAATCATTTACATTTGGATTAAATACGAAGGGCGATGGTCAATAGAGCTAATCAACGACAGAAATACACCAGTGACCCATTTCTCGTGGTCGCATGATGGTCGAATGGCTCTCATATGCTATCAGGTAAATACAGTAAAAATTCAAAAATAAACTGTCTATATACACATAGGTATTCATTTAAGATAAGGCTGAGTGCTTTTAATTATTATTTGTATGGTTTTAATACTATTAGCAATTTTAAATGTAACTTTTGAAAGATATCGTTTTAATTTTGAGAATTGCTGATTTCTAATATTGATAAGAACCATATTTTTGTCTTATATTATTTTTCGTTGTATATCTTGTCTTGTGATAAGATACATGCTATATCTCATTTCTAAGAGTAAGATACGTAAACACTAGTCTACCACGTAATATGCAGAAATCAGTATCGCGATTTTTATACACCGACACTCTGTCAAACAGTTCTGGTTGAACTCGAGGACCTTTTGATGAAATATCATTAGGAGAAAGCGAACTAGAGGATTTGCAAGATAAATCAAATACAATTCTAATTTTTGTAGTAAAACTTTGTCCCGAACCACACAGAAATGAGGCACAAAATATTTGTTCTTTTGAAGAGAGTTAGTGAGTGATAGTGGAACAAGTTTTCCAAGCTATAATTCGATATATTCATTTATAATCTTTTTATATTCGCCTTTGAGAGAAGCATTCTTTTCAAATTTTCCTTCTAGAGAGAGAAAACGGTTTTTTGCTGTAACAAACGAATCTCCCAATTTCTTATAAGCTTGAGATTGTACGAGGGGTAAATCTACGTGAAATCTTCCACTAGGAAGTATTAAGTTAGTGTCGTGAAAAATACGTTCAGCAAGATTATCTTGTTCTTTGTCGCAAGAGGAAGAGGAAACATTTTCCTGTTCTAAACATCTTCCCAAGGGTGTGTCGAGATTTTCTTCTTCAGAGAAATTGGCAATATGGAATCAATGAACAGTGGGAGATTTCGAAATTAAATATTCTCGAGGTACTGCCCCAGATAGTATTCACCCTAGTTGAATTTGAATTAATGTAGGACATCCTTTGCCTAAAAAATAAAGACCACGTTGAAGCAATAATATCAGCTCCTAAAAGTATATCAATCTCTGAGGGTAGATTAAATGTTTTATCTGCGAGATAGCCTTTAAAATGAGGCGGTATATTTAACACTTGACTATTAATAAAAACTTGAGGTAACTTTTGAGTAATATTCTCCACTATTGCACATGATACTTTATAGGAGGTGGAGGAATCAAAATGAGGGAAAATGTCAATATCTGTCACTTGTTGCACATTACATTCATTTTTGCAAATCTCAGAGATGATTTGAAATCTGTGATTGTATGGCTTAACACCTATTTTTTAAACAAGAGAGTGATAAAAGACAATTGACTACCAGAATCAAGCAGTGCTCTAGCGATTATAGGACGACCAGTTTTTGGATATAAGCAAACTTGAGCAGTTGCCAATAGTACGTGAGTACATTTTGTTGTTAGCGCTGATTTTAATGAGGTTTTCTGCGGAGTGACAGAGTGATTATTTGATTGGGAAGAGGTTGAGGGCATATTAAGATCCAATATTTGCGAATGACATGTTTGTGTGGGTGCAGAATTATTGGGAGATTGGTGGTCGTATGAAGTTTGTGTTTGATTTTTGTAATTTGATTGCTGATCTTGAAAACTGAAATTTTTACTATGCAAAAGAGAGTAGTGTTTCTTATGATATATAAAGCAAGTTGAATAGAATGAGCAGTTCTTAATTGAATATCGCGTACCTAGACAATTAAGAGGGAAAGCTCACTCATGCGACAGGTCGCGCGCGACCGATCGCGAGGCATCGCGCGCGGCAATACTTTAGATGTTTTTAAATGACTCAAAGCCCATTAACGCGGTTCTGTCGCGTGGTCGCACGCGGCTGAAAATTAGAAATGACAAGCCCGCGATTTTCCTGCCCCACGCGGCCAGCGTTATCATGGATTCATATGGAGCATCACTCATACAAACGTCAAGTCGCGCGCGAAACGCCAGTTGAGAGTTGGAGTTTCCTGTTAACTTTTTGACAGTTCTTGTGAAAAAATGTCCGTCAGTTGTATTGATATAGATGACTTTATATCCGATTTTTAAGACCGACCTCAAATATCGAATAGTTAATTGAAATAAAATAGCGAAAAAAATATTTGTTTGGGAATCTGCGCTGGCAGTTCGTCAAATAACACTACTATTATTCTGAAATATTTGAAGAACTTATCTACGTGTTGACGTAAATCCTTATATAATAAATTAAATGCGCCTTTTACGCAAGGGTCAATAAATAGTGGATGAACCCACTACCTACGTCGTTTCAATTTTTTCCGCCGACGAACAGAATAAAACAACACCGTTACTACTTCTTCCACCTCTATTTTGATAGTGAACGTCTGTGTCGCTGCTTGTCGTCTGTTAAAAATCACACCTAAAAAATCGCATGCGGCAGGTCGCGCGCGACATGTCGCGTGAGTGGGCTTTCCCTTTAATACAAATATTATTAGATTTAACCAAATTATATCTGTCAGGTATTGACAGCTTACTAAATTCTGGACAATTTTATATTTTATGGCTATTGACTCCATTATAGATACAAATGTGATATATTGGAGAAGATGGTGGAGAAGAGGTAGAATTTTTAAAATATTGTGGTTGTGCATATAAAAACACTTTAGGTGATTTCGTCTTGTCTTAAGATTTTTCATTGTTAAGTGTAAGGGGTTAAAGAAAAGGTCCTTTATTTCTCACAAGTCAATTTAATTGGCGACCGGTTTCGAAGCTGTCACTTCATCATCAGGCACACCTAAATGGAATGTCAAGGAGTCAGTTGTAATAAAAAACAATTATAAAAGCATGAACGGACTTTAACATATACAAAATAACAGAAAAAACACAAAAGAAGTTAAACAATAACCTTGACTCACCTTGACTATTTCCATAAAGGAAGCCGCTACATAAAGTTTAACAAAACGAGTTAAAAAAGTCATATGTAATACAATAGTATTTTTTAAAAATATTGTAGGTTAGGTTAAACCGTGAGATGTCTGTTTGAATAAATTAATTAAAACACATGTAAGACTATTATTAACTAAACAACACAAAATAGTTTTTACAAGCACAAACAGTTTAAAAATTTTTTAAGGATATAACGTCAGTTAATAAAAGTAAAAAGTAAAAATTATCAGACTCTCAAGACATCTATCTAGATTTTTAACGAATCAATGTAGTAAACTGTAAATTTTAAATTTAGCGGATAAATAGTGTACTAACAAAGGTGTTATTTACTGAAAGTGAGTATAGGTGGCGGTGACAAAATTTATTGAAAGTAAAAATATTAAACTGGGAAATGAGAAAGTAAAAAATACTAACAAGAAAATTAGAACACTGAACAAGAAAATATGAAAATTCATATGTAAAAGGGAAATTTGAAGCAGATGATCAAAAGAAAAATTACTGTTACAGGAAACGGAAACTAAGTTGACATTCGTACTTGTCAACTTAGTTTCCGTTTCCTGTAACAGTAATTTTTCTTTTGATTATCTGCTTCAAATTTCCCTTTTACATATGAATTTTCATATTTTCTTGTTCAGTGTTCTAATTTTCTTGTTAGTATTTTTTACTTTTTCATTTCCCAGTTTAATATTTTTACTTTCAATAAATTTTGTCACCGCCACCTATACTCACTTTCAGTAAATAACACCTTTGTTAGTACACTATTTATCCGCTAAATTTAAAATTTACAGTTTACTACATTGATTCGTTAAAAATCTAGATAGATGTCTTGAGAGTCTGATAATTTTTACTTTTTACTTTTATTAATTGACGTTATATTCTTAAAAAATTTTTAAACTGTTTGTGCTTGTAAAAACTATTTTGTGTTGTTTAGTTAATAATAGTCTTACATGTGTTTTAATTAATTTATTCAAACAGACATCTCGCGGTTTAACCTAACCTACAATATTTTTAAAAAATACTATTGTATTACATATGACTTTTTTAACTCGTTTTGTTAAACTTTATGTAGCGCTTCCTTTATGGAAATAGTCAAGGTGAGTCAAGGTTATTGTTTAACTTCTTTTGTGTTTTTTCTGTTATTTTGTATATGTTAAAGTCCGTTCATGCTTTTATAATTGTTTTTTATTACAACTGACTCCTTGACATTCCATTTAGGTGTGCCTGATGATGAAGTGACAGCTTCGAAACCGGTCGCCAATTAAATTGACTTGTGAGAAATAAAGGACCTTTTCTTTAACCCCTTACACTTAATCCCTACTACTCACATATGGCTACCCTCACTCCAAATTTTTCATTGTTATCCAATGGTTTAAAAGATGAATTAAAGTTTTCTAAATTTGTATTTTCTAGGATCTCATATCTTTGGTTTAAAAAATTTAGGAAATTTTGAAGATTTGGCAGAGTGCCGAAATTAGAAGTTTCTTCAAAGGCCCTTCTCGTATTATAATCTATTTTTTATTCTAAAATGTAAACTATAAGCGATTCAAACAGTTCTGATTTGGAGTAATTTAAATTGTCTAGTGCATCAAGAGTTGCTTTGGTATTTGCCACAAATTGCCTTAAACTCGACGCTGTACATTTTATAAGGGTAGTAGTATTTAGTAAATGCTGAAAATGAGTATTAACAATTTGTTTTTATTACAATATCTATTTACTTTAAGAGCAATATCAAAATTATTATCTGTCACTTGCAAGGCGTTAATTAACTGCTTCACCTCTTAAATATGACTTTAAAAAAACTTCTCTGCGTGTAATCTGAGCTTTGCAAGTTGCCCTTTGTTTGACTAAGTCTTCCATATTTATGATTTACTTTACCCTTAACCTATGATCTTCAAATGTGGATATGATTGAAAATTGGCTTTCTTAAGTGGACACTGCTTGAGATTTTTGTAGAGAACTACGACTAGTGGAAAAAAGTGGACTCTGCTTGAGATTTTTGTAGAGAACTGCGACTAGTGGAAATCTGATTCTGTTTCTTATTTTAGGGAATATTGGTTTAGTGAAAATCTTCTGTGTGGAAATCTGCTGGGAGTCTTTCTTCTTTAAGTGGACCCTGCCTAATAGATCCGGCTCGAAGGACCATGAATCACAACGGAAGGTTTCTAAAGTTTCCCTTCAATTGTGATTCGGGGTGCTAACTTGAATTTTATTGAAACTGTGACTGGTTGTGGTAAATCAATTTATTCGCTGGCATGCATACAATTTGATATACAACAAGTGAGTAGTGGGGAGTTTAGGGCAACTTCTGCTTTCTTTTTTGGTGTTGGTGTGTTTTTTTTTACATATTACTGCTGTCACGAAAAAATAATATATCATTATGACAGTTACCAAAGCAACTCTTATATACAGGTTGATTACTTTTTCTTGTTAAAAAGAGAATTTTTAACAAGCCTTAAGTACGTCACTTATAATGAGATCATAACCAGAAGCCTTTTTTTGGGTTGATGTTTGTATTTCTCTAGTAACTTCTTACAAGTTTTATCTTCTTTTCCTCTTCTACTAATGTTTCCTCTAGATCATTTTCTATGTCTTATTCATCAGATTGGAAGTTTTTCTTCTGGTATTCTGCAAAAATATCCGCTTTTTTTAAAGCTCATTATTCTTTTTCGGTTCGTATGGAAGGATTTTGGAGATTGTTGTCTTCAGTTTTTTCGATATTATCTTTGAATTTTGTTAGTTCACAGAAATACTAATTAAAAGATTTTCTTTTGGATAGTTCTTACCAATAGTTTTTCTTTTAATTTGTACCATGTTGTTCCAAGTTGCCTATTTGACATAGATCACAAATCCTCCTACTTTCTATCCTCCTAATTTCTATTTTCTTTATAGGATGGTTACGTTCTAGTAGGTTCAGTAGCCGGACAAAGATACTGGTCATCAATGTTAAATCTGGATTCAACAATAACATGCGGGATTTGGACTCCTGATGATCAACAAGTTTACTTTGGAACGACTTCTGGTCAAATAATTGTGATGGACGTTCATGGTGCTATGGTTTCGCAAGTGCAACTGAGCTCTGAAGTTGGAATTACTTCGATGGCATGGTCTTGTGAGAAATTTAAAATGGAGGAAGGGGATGATGCTGATGGTGGGGTTGTGAATTCTGGTAAGTTTAGAATACATTTAACTAAACTTTAGTTAGTTTTTATGGGGGTAATGACTATTAAAACATAAAAAGTAAAAACTATAAATACATACCTATACTTATACAATGCAGGTGGATATAAGTGTAAAATAAAACTAGCGAAATAACACACCAAAAACATTTTGAATTTAAAACAAAATTTATCAATAAATAAATAATTTAGAAACAAAAAACATGATGGTGTATTAGCACTGAAGATGACCAGCTATAAAAAGTAACAAAATTGTACGCTCAGACATGCGTTATTTTTGTCTAGCCCACTTTAATAATATTTTTGTATACAATAACTAGACGCATAATTATTTTGTATTTTTATTTAAATTTACTATTTTATTTTCTTTCCACAAAATAAATAGATCAAGGTTTTTTATTATCGACCTTAAAATCTACTAAACATAAATATAATATTTATGAGAATAAAGTTTGGTTAATTACATGTAATAATAAAATACCTTTTAATAATTTAGATATTTATAATCTCTTTAACCGAAGCAAGGAAAAATAAAAAAATGGATACTTGAAATTTTCGGTGAACCTATTAAAATTCTTGACTTTGAAAAAGAACAAAACATTTGTAGGTTTTAATTTAATTGGAAAAATGGCGTCAAAACTTCCACATACAGTATCGGATATCGAACACTTTCCAATACACCTTCCACAATTGCTTGTAAAAACTACAAAATCTTATAGCATTAGAGCAAACTGGAAAAGAATAATGTCAGCGATGCCAGTTTATACGGTTGGGCCGTAAGCAGCTGTTCTCCACCAATGTAATATTTATTAATTCTTATCTTCGTTGTGTCTAAAAAAATACCAAAAAACGATTAGAAATTTTGCATTAGCGCTGGTACCGGACGTAAAACTAAATTAACATTATTGTAACAGGCTTGTCATATTAAAGAATATGAAAAAATCAAAACAAACCTTTGTTTTTGGTAATCAAATACATATTTCTAATGAAAAGGAAAACAATTTTAAACAAAAAAATATAGTAACTCTAAATGCTATTAAAACCAAAACGATTTGGCAACATTATTAATAAGCCAAGTAACATTTTTTGATTTATCAAGGCATACAAGATAACCATAAAACCCTTTTTTAAGACACTGATAAAACTTTTCAATCCGTGAGATAGCCTTAGAGCTGCTATAAATCTGATTTAAGAGTAAAAGGGAGAATCCTATAACGGTTCTTAGGAGTATTTTTGAAACAATATCCTAAAACTAATAAGACATAAGTCAAAGTCCGTAAGAGTATATTAAGAATTTTATTACCACTTTTAAATCTTTTTTGAGATTATAATAGACACAAAACTTCACAAAACTAATCAGTTTTAAGAGAATTCAATTTTAAACTGTTTTACCTTTATTCTGTTTTATCGTACTCTTTGTGAAAATAATTTTGCAAACATGTTGGGAAGACTGTCATATTAGAAATTAATTATTATATAGTGAATGTTTAATCTGTTTGGTTACACTTCTTATTTCCTCAATTTTCCAATACACTCCAAAGTACTGTTAAAAGTGGGCAAGGTAGGTCGTAATAAATTATGGGCCTTACAATATATGAAATATATATAAAAAAGCATTAATATACGGATTCTAATCTAGTTATTTAATAGAAAATAACATAAATATCGTATATATAGTACTATAAATAAATTACATTTGTCTTCGATATGTTTTTGATATAAAATATCACTTTTTGTATTTTTCAAATTATTTCATGGAAGTGACTATATAACCGCCAATATAAATCCTATTGTAGATGTGTCTTTGCAGGGATACTAGTCATCATCAGAAAACCATTTCCAATTGCGCATACTACCTACTGGACTACCAGAAACAAACTGTGTTTATACATAAATTACATTAGCCGAGGAAAGAAAAGTATAGCATTATATTAAAGAATGTTCCAATAAAAATTACATTTATATACCTTAAAAGGTATTAGCTGTAGATATATTTGACAAATTTGACATCATGTGGTTAAACGCAGTAAACGCAATCATAAATAATAACTACTGTCATTGGCACACTGTTGTCATTGACACACTATCACTGGCTTTGGTACACAAATTACTAAAATCGAAAGTTTTTTAAATTATTTGAACTTTGACCCCCACTGCCATATTTAAAATAAAGGATTTCATCATTGTGTTCTACCTGTACCTAAAAACCAACAATAGCTTATAAAACTACTAAAGCAAAAAAATACTTTTTAGGACTTTCCAATTTTTAAAGCGTTTCATGAAACAATAGCAAAACGAAAACATTAATAAAACGTTCATAAATTCAATCAGACGAGCATCTTATTTACTCTATGAACAAGTCATTAAAAATATAAAAATTAGTAATAATATATTAACCATTTTCCTCTTTCACTGATCATTTCCAGAATATTAGGAGCCTCGGAATGTTTCTTTCGTATTTGTTAAACAATGGCACCAAATAAATTTTTTAAACACTGAGAAGAGGGAGAAACATATACTTATCATATATTTTTTTCCTTTTCTATGGAAATTGCCACTTTTCTTTATTTTGAGCAATTTATCTTTAAACGTCAACATAATGTGATTGGGTTGAAAAGCTAGGTTATGCTCTAAAACAAACTTTAGTTCTTAATAAAATTATGTAGTTTTAAAAGAGCCCTATCGTTACTAGATTAAATAAATTATAAGATTTATGTTGTAAAATTGTTGAAAATGTACCTAAAAGGTTCTGGGATCAATTTAATTTAAAGTATAATCCTAAAACACTCTTTAAAACTAAGTTTTAAAATCTACTCAAAATAACTGCTAAAAACACCAAACACACCTTGGGAGTATTTTCAAACTAAATAGTTCTAAAATTACTTATTAACTAACCCTTACAGGACAACGATAAAGCATAGTAAACTTTAGGATAAACTAGTTTTCTTAAACAGATTTTAAGGAATCTATAAAACCAAGTAAAAAGATCAATTTATCCCGCAGTCCTATTAGCAAAAAAAAATAACTAATAAAATAATTATTAATTTTTATGCCTTTACAAAATCCTAATAAAACTTGTTTCTCCTAAAAATGTTACTTGAGAAGAACATATTCACTACGCAGCTGTTGGCATTAAACTAAACTCGGCAGAATTATAAGTACTAGTGTTCGCCCAGTGGTCGTAATTCGACCATTGTTGAAAATTTGAGTAAAACATATGCATTTGCATATTTCTAACGTTTTTTTTATTTTTATACTTTCATTCATTGTATATCTGTGATCATACACTTTTATGTGCACTAACGATACCACATAGTTCAGTACCATTATAATTAAATAAAAAATAAATTCAATAAAATAACAGTAACTCAGAATTTAAAAACCCTCATTTATTGATATGATTTGAAACACAATTTATATTTTGAAATTATTTGAAATGAACGGGTGCTTATGTTCGCTATAGGCTAATTTTATTAGTCAATCATAATTCATAATTGTAGTTCAATGGATTTCATAATTGTTGATCAAAATTGGAACAATTGGAACAAAATACTATTTCCAAATTTTTTTTTGAGAACACTAATGTTCGTCAATAGCTACTAAAGAAAACTAATAAAAAAAATTGATTTATAAACAAAAGAGAACATGGTACTGAACCATTTCGTATTTGTCTATTTATATTTAGAAATAAACAAAAAAAAAAAATTGACCTATCTCGAAATGACGGTGGTGGCGTGCATTTATCTTAAAGTAAATTTTCAACAACCTAACATGTTTCTATCAACATGTAAAAATATATTTGTTGTGCATTTAAGGAAAGTTTAAGTACTAGCCAGTATTAGTATATTATACAGGGTGATTTATTACTAATTGGAAATATTTCAACTATAGAATCCTGAAGTCAAATTATGAAGATTTACCCCAAATCACCTAGATAAAATATGTCTCCATTATGAGTTTTGTTTAAAAATTTAAAAATTATTTCTGTCCAGTATTTTAAAACTACTTGACGTGTTATTGTCATATTTGGCGGAAACTGTAGATACTATACACCCTACTAAATTATGTTAAATAAACGTTTCTGGCTACTATAGTCTATTTTTATGTATGAGAGAGTAATAAAACAGCATTTATAATGCAAAACTTAGTACGGTCATTTTAAATATTTTTATAGAATAATCTAAATATTTCCTAAAATTGTAATAAATGTACCTGAGCTATTGCAAGTTTTGGGTCTTTTATTGGTCCTTTATAAACATAAGCTGTACAGAACAATAGAAAAAGGTTTGGACAGGCCAAAAGCCCTGTGTATTAAAAATTACATAGCCGTATCTTAAGATTATTTTCAATAAGTACCTATTTGCCAATTTTGTTTTATTTTAATTCCAAGAATTTCTTACAGTAATCGAATTATAAGTAGATAAATATCTTCCCAACAAATTTCACCGAAAATGCGATTATAGGTTTTCCATTTATTAAGGAGGTCCAAGTTGTGTATTCTTGACAGTTTACTAAATGTCGTTTAGTTGCAACTTGCAAGGTGCAGTGTGAATTCTAGTGTGATCATGGAAAATTTGAAAGGGCCGCGTAAACGACAAAAAATCGGTCCTTTAACAGTTAATGATAAAACATTATTATTTAATTGTTTTAAATCATTTACAGACAAACATTAATGTAAAAGTGTTGATGACACAGTGGAATTAGTTAGTAGTACGCTTGGTGTTGGGAAATCTATGATTTACAGAGTTGTTAAAGAAGAGAAATGTGGCAAGTTTCAAACAGCACGTAAAGCTCCAGGAAAACCAAAATTTCAATTAGAAAATCTTTTAAAAGAAATACTTCGAAGGAAAGTGCATGCGTTCTTCTTTAGAAAAGAATTTCGACAGTAGACAAAGTTCTTGCCACGGTTCGAGATGATAAGGATTACCCTGAAATGAGTCGAAGCACACTATGGAAACTTTTAAAAGAAATAGGTTTTCTATGGAAAAAG